ACTACACAAAGATGGATTCTCAGGGATTATCAAGTTAAAGTAGATTCTCGTTCATCCTACCCAACCCTGAGACCTTCTTAAGATAACAAGCTAAGTAGGAATCTTCTACAGACTAGGTGAGATTAGCTAAGGTTATATTAGGTCAGCTTTAGGACATCTTATCTTAGGTTAAAATAAGCTTGGGGAGTTGTAACCCAGCCAGTCGCCCTAACCTTCAACAATCTTCGCCTCCTTTATCACCAACAATATACTGAAGCCTCAAAGCCTTACAAGTTACTACGTCCTCTCCTCTAAATAATACTTTGTCGTTTACGTGTGAATGTTCTTGTCCATTTGAATACTTTGTCCCAACATCTGGGATATATTTTTATTGATTTTGTTTAGGCCTTATTATGTATTTTCAAAGTTTCTAATTGTTATGTGAATGTTATTGTTTTGTGAATGTTTTTTCTTTCTTGCAATCTATTAATATTTTTTTAATTTTTCATATTAATATTAGTATTCACAAAAATATATAAAACGTATATATTTTTTTAAGTATTTGACTGTTCTTTGTTTTAATCAATGTTCGTCCCATAAAAATCCGTCATAAAAAAATTCGCAAATAAACATTTATATTATAATTTATATCTATACAAAAATTTCTAGCATAATTTTGTCTTTTTCATTTTTCCGAAAACTTTAATACTTTCATTAGGGAAAAAAAGAAATATTTTGTTTTTCTTTCTTTCGTTTCTGGTTTTGTTTTTTTAATATTGTAATTGTTTGATGTGGAAAAATTATTTGTCTTTTTCTGCATATAATTATTTGTTTTTATTAAAGTGTTCTTGTAATAGAAATTTATTTTGGGTGTTGTTGTTAGTGTTATTTCTGATGTTCTAGTTAATGTTATTTTTATTGGAGCAGTGTTGGAGCGTTGAAGCTTCCTTGGAACAGTGTTGGAAGGGTTGCAGTGTTGGAGCAGTGTTGGAGCGTTGAAGCTTCCTTGGAACAGTGTTGGAAGGGTTGGTGCAGTGTTGGAGCAGTGTTGTAGCGTTGAAGCTTCCTTGAACAGTGTTGAAGTTGGGCAGTGTTGAGCGTTGAAGCTTCCTTGGAACAGTGTTGAAGGGTTGGCAGTGTTGGAGCAGTTGTAGCGTTGAAGCCTGGAACAGTGTTGGAAGGGTTGGTGCAGTGTTGGAGCAGTGTAGCGTTGAAGCTTCCTTGGAACAGTGTTGAAGGGTTGGTGCAGTGTTGGAGCAGTGTTGTAGCGTTGAAGCCTTGGAACAGTGTTAGGGTTGGTGCAGTGTTACAGTGTTAGAGCGTGAAGCTTCCTTGGAACAGTGTTGGAAGGGTTGGTGCAGTGTTGGAGCAGTGTTGTAGCGTTGAAGCTTCCTGAACAGTGTTGAAGGATGGCAGTGTTGGCAGTGTTGTAGCGTGAAGCTCCAAACAGTGGAAGGGTTGGTGCAGGTTGGAGCAGTGTTGTAGCGTTGAAGCTTCCTTGGAACAGTGTTGAAGGGTTGGTGCAGTGTTGAGCAGTGTTGTAGCGTTGAAGCTTCCTTGGAACAGTGTTGAAGGGTTGGTGCAGTGTTGGAGCAGTGTTGTAGCGTTAAAGCTTCCTTGGAACAGTGTTGAAGGGTTGGTGCAGTGTTGGAGCAGTGTTGTAGCGTTGAAGCTTCCTTGGAACAGTGTTGGATGGTGCAGTGTTGGAGCAGGTTGTAGCGTTGAAGCTCCTTTGAACAGTGTTGGAGTTGGCAGTGTTGAGCAGTGTTGTAGCGTTGAAGCTTCTTGAACAGTGTTGGAAGGGTTGGTGCAGTGTTGGAGCAGTGTTGAGCGTTGAAGCTTCCTTGGAACAGTGTTAGAAGGGTTGGTGCAGTGTTGGAGCAGTGTTGTAGCGTTGAAGCTTCCTTGGAACAGTGTTGGAAGGGTTGGAGCAGTGTTGTAGCGTTGAAGCTTCCTTGGAACAGTGTTGGAAGGGTTGGTGCAGTGTTGGAGCAGTGTTGTCGTCAGATATGGAACAAGTCACTCACCTTTGTAATAACATGATTAAAAAAACTAATTAGTCTCAAGTAACAACAGGTAAATCAAAATAAGACTCTACCTGATGGCAACACCACTCCACAGATGGTGATTTTTACTTTTTTCAGAACTCTCTCTCTCTCTCTCTCTCTCTCTCTCTCTCTCTTCTCTCTCTCTCTCTCTACGGCGTCCTTGTGTTAGTTGAAGTACCGTGATAACAAGGAAGAGTTAGGTTAGGTTAGGTACAACGACCATTATTGTCCTAACTTAATCTAACCTAACTCCTGAATACCTATTGTCCAATCACCATACCTCTTACTTAATGGCTAAGGTCGTACTTGTCTGTGATTGGTTAGACATAATCTGTAGGCGTGGCTTAAGCATCTCGTCTCAGCAGGTTTATTCTATCCTAGTCTATCTATCTATCTATCTATCTATCTGTCTGTCTGTCAACTTGATTCAGCTGACAGGAAAACATTCATCAGTAACCAACAAAGAACCCCAACTCTCAACCCCGAACCCTCGAACCTGAACCCTCGAATCCGAACCGTTGAATCAGAGCCCTTGAATCCGAACCCGAACCCCGAACGCATAGCTGAGAGAGAGAGAGCTACTTCACATAAATAATTCAACCTGATATTTATGATGTTTTACCAGTAATTAAAGTTATAATTATCCACTTACTGGAGAGTTATTTATCTTTTAATTCCTACAGGTATTAAAGGATCGGGTATACTGTACATAACCACAGGTAAATTCTCGTACGTTTGTCTTTTGTTTGTGATCTATAAGTGACGTAAATTCTCGTACGTTTGTCTTTTGTTTGTGATCTATAAGTGACGTAAATTCTCGTACGCTTGTCTTTTGTTTTTGATCTATAAGTGACGTAAATTCTCGTACGCTTGTGTTTTGTTTTTGATCTATAAGCGACGTAAATTCTCATACGTGTGTCTTTTGTTTGTGTTCAATAATACGTCATAGTATATGTGTAGTAAAATATCGCACGTTTGTCTTTTGTTTGTGCCAATACTGTTACACCTTAATATTCTTGTTGTCTCTGTCCCTGTTGCCGTTTCTGACGGTTATACTGTGTGTGTTGATGGTGGTGGTGCGAAGAGTCTCCTAGGTGGTGATGGACTATAGATGAGGTACCCGGCCAGCTACAGTCTCTCTCTCTCTCTCATACACCTGACCTTTGATCCTCTGACCCCTAGAGAAAACCTTTACATACCTGCCCCCTCAAAACACCTCTATATCTTTTAATGAATATATGTCCTCAGGTAAACACACAAATCTTAAACATTTTCTCTACAATTACTGGGAGTTGAGGGTGCCGGGGGGGAGGCGTAAGGGGGTGCCAAGGAGGGAGGAGGGTGCCAAGGAGGGAGGAGGGTGCCAAGGAGTGTGTATATATCAGATGAAACACCTCCATCTCGCCCTCAGGTTAATTACAGTAGATAGGTGAAGCCAGGTACAATAAACCTTTCCTTTTATCTAGACTTCAAGGTGTTTTCTTAAGAGCGGGAGGGGAGGTCTGTTTATTTGACTGTCTCATCAAGGTGTAGAGGTGTATTGTGTAGGTGTAGGTATCGTGTGAGGGGTATCGTGTGAGGGGTGTATCGTGTGAGGGGTGTATCGTAGTGGTGGTGGTGTGGAAGAGTATTGTAAGAACGTTCACTTTTTGATGTTGTGAATGCTCTCTCTTCTCTCTTCCTCTCTCTCTCTCTCTCTCTCTCTCTCAAAAGGTAAAACCAAACACATTTTTATTATAACTAAATACTTAATATTTTACAACAACACGACATAGAGAGGAGCTTTGTGTGTGTGTGTGTGTGTGTGTGTGTGTGTGTGACTGTGTGTGTGTGTGTGTGTGTGTGTGTGTGTGTGTGTGTGTGTGTGTGTGTGTGTGTGTGTGACTGTGTGTGTGTGTGTGTGTGTGGACTGTGTGTGTGTGTGTGTGTGTGTGTGTGTGTGTGTGTGTGTGTGTGTGTGTGTGACTGTGTGTGTGTGTGTGTTTTAGCGGGCAGCAGCAGACTTCAGTAGCTCCTCCAAGGTTACCACACTACTAGAGTTGCGCTTCAACCATTGGCCACGTCCCGGAGGTTCTGTTGAAGGACGACCTCTATGTATACTGGCCTCTTGTTACCTCTTACCTCTACCTCCTACCTCTACTACTACTTCTCAATTGATTGGATTAAGTTAGGAGTTTATTAATGCTGATTGGGTGAATGTGACCTTGCAAGCGTCAGGTGAAAGTGAGCTGCAGATCTGAAGAAACGACTCTGAATATGAGAGTAAATATGACGGTGAAAGTGACGGTGAAAGTGACGGTGACAGTGAAAGTGACAGTGAAAGTGACAGTTGAAATTACCTGAAAAGCAAAAAAAAATTATATGTGAAAAAAGAAGCGAAAGTGACCATTTAAGTAAGAGATTCACCTTCAAGAGACTGGAGGATACGGTTGAGGTGGTGTCGACGGTGGTGGTGAAGGGAAGCGAGGTGGACTCTCCCTCCTCCACCATGATGTAGGTGGAGGAGATGGCTGAAGACTCCTCCCTCAATCTCCATCTTCCTCACTTCCTTCTCCAACAGCAACCAAACTATGTCGTTCTGTAATAAAGGTGATTGGTTGATTTATTCTGTAAAAACCACACTAACAACCACAATCAACAACCACAATTAACATCTACAACAACAATCACACCACCGATAATTTCTCCTGCAACCACAACACTCTGCAACAACCAGATCAACAATTCACACGAAGAAGAAGAAGAAGAAGAAGAAGAAGACGAAGAAGAAGAAGAGTATGCAATAAAATCAAAACAAAAACAAAAGAAATGGCGGTGCAAGCCCCTTAACAACCAACAACCAATCACCATTCTCAAGTTGCAGTAGTTGCTTGATACCAAAAGTTGCCGTTGCTAAGGACGCCAAAACAACGGTTGCTATGGACGCCAAAAGTGGGCGGAGCTTAAGGTTAGGTCGCTTAAACTACAATTAACCAGCAAGAATATTCTCTATCTCCTTACTATATTTCTTCTTTCTCTCTCTCTTCCTGGTTTATCCTTATTGTCTCCTTCTCTGCTTCTCTGTCGGCCGCCTGCTTCTTTACCGCCCAGCAGGTCACACGTACACGGTCCCAGACTCTGGTAATTAAGCAGTAATTAGTAGCTGTGAAAATTCGTCGAGGTGTAATAGTTAAAGCTCTAAGATAATTAATTAAGACCTTGATAACTATCAAAGGCTATATGATAATTCAGAAACTTGAGCTACACCAATCACGGACACGCTTCACACGTCACAAAACGTCATTACACACCGCCAATAGAAGCGTCATTTGCTTGAGGGTCCACGCATGCGCAGTGAAGGCCTTGGGCTGTGATTGTCTGATGGCGGGCAGGTCAGCGTATGGCACCACAGTATCCCTGAAGGCTGACAACACGTCCCCACGAACGTCCAAATTCTGAAAATGACACGGTAATATCTTAGGCTTGTATTATGAAACATTTAAGTCCGTATAAGATAAGATTTTAGGTCCGTATAAGTGAGGATTTTTATCCAGTGTAATTGTGCCCAGTGCCCACACCCTGAGAGATATGTGGAGAGCTGGTGGTAGTGTGGCGGTGTAGAGTGATCGCCAGGCACTGTTAACTGCTCGTGTTGGCACTGAGTACTTACGTTGATGGGTGCCAGTAGAGCCAGCAGTAATGGTAGTGTACTGGTGTAGAGTGATCGCCAGGCAGCCACGAGTGCAGTGAGTCGGTCGCCATCAAGAGGACTGGCCACCCTCACTGCCAACATCCTGGTTCCCCCTGGCACCACCTCGCTCTGCCACCACCTGAGGGCCAGCCCGCCTCCGCCACCCATCACCAGTACTGCCAACTGAAGCATGAAACTCACTCACTTCGTTCACCTCCGCGCCATCTTACCTGCCTCCTCCTCCTCCTTAGCCCGGCTTTAGTTACATGTGATCACTTTCTCTTAATTTCCCTCATATGTTTCAGCCTATAGAACCAGGAGATGGGGTGATGTATAGATCAAACAAGATGAAGTAATTATATATATTTTGCATTTATTCATAAAATGGAATAAGTTAATGATGAGAAAAGCTTTTTTAACAACTACAGAAGACTCTCTCTCTCTCTCTCTCTCTCTCTCTTGTACTAACCTTCTCGTGGAACTGTTGGAGTCCCTCTGGGGGGAAGGTGTTGGTGCGATAGACGTGGAGGAGGGCGTCGGTAAACTCCTGAAGGAGGGAAGTGGAGGGGGCGCAGGAGAGGGCATCCAACTCCTTCTCGCCCCAGGACAAACTCCGCAGGACGGACAGAGGCCGCTGGAAGAACCGCTTGACGGAGCCACGACGCGTTGGATGCCCGAGGTCGCTGCTGCTACTGCTGTGGTACGACGACCAACTGACGGACGGACGGGAGGAAGGAATCGTTAATCAACCAATGACTAGCACAAGGAGTGATCAGGCAGGTCACCGAGGCAGAATGACCTCAACTGACTATATATGATATGGGAAACACATTGGCAGGGGAGTCCACTGGCCCGAGTTAGGTGTTAATTTTAAGAGCAATGATTCTGTTAGAATACTGATGGAAAAGGCGTGTGTCCTCCCGGCTGAAGGAGGGAGTAAGGTGATGGCAGTATGTGTAGACAGAGAATAAAGTGAAACCAGAAACAATTAATAGTTTGACTCTCTTGCACGGCTGAACTACCCGGAAATGTTAAATTAAACTGCAACTACGATGTCTGTTAATCAGTAAATGGAAATTCAGGGCATGAAATGTTTTTAATGAGTATAAACTTAGGAAAATGGTGTATAAAGTGTCCCTACGATGCGTCACTGTCTTGTAAGCAAAAGTCCCTCAATGAGACTACGAGCCTAAACCATAGATGACGACAGGCAAAATAAACCAACTAAACAAAATCTAACCTAACCTAACCCTATCATCAAAACAAAACCTAACCTAATTATGCCTAAACTAACCATAATTTAATCTAAACTACCTAACTTAACCTAACCTAGACAATGTAGTAAAATAAAAGACAAAAGTCGTGTCGTGAAATTTGGTGAAAACATATGCCGTCGGACTAAAACTTTTGGTGCGCTCTGCCTTGTGGTACGGAGCTCTCATAATGTTTCACGAGTTATATTTAACCTTCGGACAAAACCGCGATACGACTTTTGTCTGTGATGTACACATAACCTACCCAACTTAACACTTAACTTAACCTAACCTAAGTTAACAAATAGTTTATTTAGGTTAGATGACGTTAGGTAGGAGAGGTTGGGTTAGTTCACGTAGTTTGTCCTCATAAATGTTGTTAATGCCTGAATACGACTCAAGGTTGTACTCAAACAGTTAGATCATTTTATTGAAGGGGTTAGGTCCTGGTACTCAAGGGGCTAGGTCCTGGTACTCAAGAGGCTAGGTCCTGGTACTCAAGGGGCTAGGTCCTGGTACTCAAGGGGCTAGGTCCTGGTACTCCAGAGGCTAGGTCCTGGTACTCCAGAGGCTAGGTCCTGGTACTCACGGGGTAAAGATCAATTCCATTACATTTTTGTCAAAGATTCTTGAAAACGGATAGGCAAATGTTCAGTGGGTTAGGTTAGGTTAGGTTAGGTTAGTGTCGTGGCTCCTGGTGTTCGAGGGAAGGACCTGAGGCTTGGTCGTCACGGGGGAGGAAACATGACTTCTTTATCTATACATTAAAGGGGACGACATGTAGGCTAGTCGTTAAGGAGAGAGGGAATACGACCTCGTAGTGTAGTCGTCATGGGGTAGTAACACGCCCTGTCTACCTACCTGGAAGTGGACGACCTGAAGCGGAGTCGTCTCGGGGAAGGAACAGTACCTGGCCCTTCAGGTTCACCAGGAGGAGACGTGAAACTCCCGAAAGCAGACTCCTGTAGGAAGACCTCCGAGTCCCCGAGGGCGCAGGACGACGACGAAGGCGACGACGAGGTTGGGGAGAACCATTCTTCATCTTCGTCGTCGTCATCGTCTTCGTCGTCTTCGTCACTGCTGGTGGTGGTGAGTTGTGGATGTAGACAGAAGTTCATGGTGTGAGGCAACGGACGACGGTTACAGTGATCGTCTGAGATACTGCCGAGAGATAACACGCTGATAAAGAGGCCCTGGAGATTGTTATGAGGCCGGGGGAAAGTGTTGTGTGGTAAGATAAGGGGGGGGGGGTAAATATAGCTTGGGATGGAGACATTCTTACGATGATCATATAGCCTTGTTTTCCATTCCTTCGTCACCTTCTATGCGTTCCTTTCACCTCCAGATACTCCTGCTTCACTCTAAATCGTCAGATGTTATTCGAAGTGTCGGATGAACCCGGGCTACTTCTTAGTGATGTCACACACCACCAACACGAGGGAACATAACTGCTAGCTAGCCAAGTTATCATGCAAAACGAACATAAGGAAATGCATCTTCACGGTCTACCAAGTACCAACCCAAGCTGAGGAATCATTAACAGTACTGGGCTTCAAAATAGCTCTTGATAAAGTGATCAAGAACAATGGAGGTGTCCTACACAGTCTACTGGCCTTCTTCCCTCACCATGACCACCTCTAGCGGGAGGCCATTAGGTAAATAAGGTAAAGGTAAAACTACACCAAGTGTTTGGGGGTTGGCATCGTCGGCCGCCACTTATATCTCACCAGAAAAGATTCTGCTAAAGAAATCCGAAAACTCTAATGGACCTGTATTGCTCACCACAACCATTCGTGACATGGTTGTTATATTTATCGACAAATTTCACTTTTCTGCTTGTATACAACCCTCAGGTATGAGGATGGTGCTCTGAGTGATTGATACTGTCAGTAACCAAACCTAACCAAAGGACACTACTCGAAATAAATATCTAATATCTAATGGCTTTGTCAGCTGTCCTTCGTCGAGCTGCCTTACTGTTTACTGTTGTAATAATAAATAATAATAATAATAATGAACGGCTTATTAAGATAACATGGCAGCCCGGAGGATGAAAGTATACAATAAACAGAGATGATAAGTTACATATGGTGAAATCGGGGAGTGGGTCACTTGATTGACAAAAGCTTTCAGTACAAAAAAATAAGAAACATAGAGTCAACATGTAGATTAACTTTAGATCTGGTACTGTGGGAGCTGGTCTGCAGACATTCTTGTGATCTGATGTCGGCGCCAAACCTGTACTGTCTAGGACTATAGATATATTGGAAACCTCCAAGGTCTCTGTATCTGTCACAAGCGGGGTACCACGGGGCAATGTATTGGGCCCGCTGTTGTTTGTTTGTTTCATAAATAACATGCCTGACGTTGTACACTCCTCGATACAAATGTTTACGGATGACGCCAAGTTATTTCAGGAAATCAAGAACCAAGCGGACTGTGAAGAGCTGCAGCAGGATCTTTGTGAGCTCTAAGACTGGTCGAAGAAATGACTGCTGAGATTCAATGTCACGAAGTGTAAGAGGATGCACCTGGGGCGTACCAACGGTAAGGAGGCGTATCACATGTCCCAACGGGATGAAGAAACTGCACTATTTGAGACTGGTTGTGAGAAGGACCTAGGTGTGTATGTTGGCAATGAGCTGAGGTTCTCGGGCCATTGCGAGAAGGTAAATCAGGCAAATAAATTATTAGGTCTTATAAGAAGGTCGTTCAGCTATCTAGACGGTCCGTCCCTCGTAACGATCTTCAAGAGTGAAGTGCTTTCCCATCTGGAGTACTGTCACCCCGCCTGGTCCCCGAGATATTGCTACCCTGAGAGATTGGAGCACCTGAACTTGCCTAGCTTATACTACAGACGGGCAAGGGCCAGGGGGTGACATGATTGAGGTGCATAAGCATCTCAGGGGGCACTACTCAGTTGAGTGTCCTTACTTGGAGCTGGCGGACGCTCGCCCCACAAGGGGTCACAGCTCAAGATTAAAGAAGCCGCAAGTCCAGAAAACTATTAGGGCAAACTTTTTCGGAGTGAGAGTTGTGAACTCTTGGAATAATCTACCAGAAAGTGTTGTGACGACACCGAGCGTTGTCTATATGCTGTACTGTACATGTCAAACCACTTGTAAACTTATATGACGATTTCACTGAGTGAATATTATTAGTGTATCATTATTATTATTATTATTATTATTATTATTATCATTAACTTATATAGACAAAATTACTTAATCAGACAGATGACCTTAGGTTAGATGTGTATCTATTCGTATGGAAAGTAAGCAAAAAGATTTCATGAGTTTCCGCAACATTTCAAAGAAAATGAAAATACTATAACATTATAGAAAATGTAAAACTGACATGTTTTTATGGTAAACATATTTATAATTTATATCAGACGAGAATATTAATGTCGGCACTTTACTTTTACACTATTATCCTCCCCATTAATTGGCTCACCAACTGTTGATCAATCGGCATCGTCTCAGTTACACACGTTTGGTAAGTGCTTGGTGTGTACGGGTTCCAGAATGTATCTGCACCTGCGCTAGTGTAGCTGGTCAAGTCTTTGAATGAGCTCACACTCGATGCTGTCACAATGCTCTTTGGCAGATTGTTCCAAGAGGTCACCACTCTCACACCAAAAAAAAGTTGGCCCTGACAAATTTCTGAACATGTATAATATAAGAGAGGCCCGGAGGTCATTATGTTTCTTCTATGCCGCGTTTTTTATTGATTTATTGATTTTACTTGGAATAGATTGTATATGAACAACAAAATACATTGGCTATGAACAAAACAACTACACACTTTTCATATACAGTAGTACTGCACATATAATATTACTCTGATGATAACACAAAAAATCAGTAACTTTTAACTTATTTATGTTGTGGCAGGTCTCATGACAATACTGTACTTCAAGTAGTTGTACAGACCTTGTCACTATAAACGGTATATTTATGCACGCCAGACAATATGCACATGATAAATACCCTTTAAAACCAACATGAAAATCGAAATTTCAGCAATAAATTTTTTAATTTTAAGTTAATTTATATATCTAACGAGAACTTTTTTCTTTCAGTTATGAATATTAATTATGTATTTTTCATTATTCATTGTTAAAAATAGTTATGAAATTCTTTAATTACAGTCCTTGGGGTGTAAATGTCTTAAAGCTTTAAAATAAATGTTTTATGTTGGATAATTTACTGGTGCGTCGCTTGAAAATTTGGCTTTGGCTTCCAATTCATAAAAGGTGTTTAGTGAAACATAGTGGGTATTAAAATATGCCATATATTACAAACAAATTCATTTTTGTATAATACTTTAACTATTTACATAAATGTGCATTAAATTCATTTTGTCTTAATAATATTACAGTATAAAGCCAAATGAAGACATCGGAACGCAGCGAGCACAGAGGTAGGTGGCAGCAGCGTCGTCAACGATTGCCTCCAATATCATCTTCAAATTTTTGACTGGGTGGAATAATCCCCAAATATCTCCATAATCACAATGACGTGAGTGTACATAATTATTTTTTACAGTTGTCGTAGGTTAAATGTTTGTTGGTGGAGAGGGAAACAAGGCGGATAATTACAAATACACAGTAAAGCGTCTGTATATTGCTTGGTATCCGGTATAGTGACGTTGTATTTGTTGTTATCTCGAGAACCTCATAAACTACTGCCTGCTGGTTTACTGCGAATATTAATTAAATTATTGTTTCAGCAAGAATTTACACCGGGGCCCTAACAAGTCTATGGAAATTACTAATTGACAGGATTCACACATTACGAAACATTGTTGTTACATGTTTGTGTTAATGTGTAATGTGAGGTGGACTTGTATGATGAGGTGGACCACACGACACACTAAAGGAGTCCAGAGTTCATGAACTGGTGTGTCAGGCAGGTGTAGGAACTTAAAATGTGGCGATTCATATCCAGGATTCGTGGTGTGTCCCTCAGATGGCCCAGGAAGATAGATCCCGACATCCCCAGAGGCACAGAACACCACGACCCCACAGCAAGATGGCACCCCACTACCCTGCCTCACGATGCATCAGAAGACATGGTTAGCAGGGGGGATGGCAAGCCGAACATCACTGTGTGTGTTGAAGGAAACATTGGTAGTGGGAAATCGACACTCCTTGAATACTTTGCAAGGTTTTCAGAAGTTGAGCTCGTGTCAGAGTGCATGGACGATTGGCGAAGCGTAAAAGGCGAGAATCTCCTTGACCTCATGTATAAAGACCCTGAGCGGTGGTCGTACCTCTTCCAGAGTTATGTGCAGATGACGATGGCCAAGAGTCACGCTAAGCCGTCGGCAATGCCAGTCAAGCTCATGGAACGCTCCATCTACAGTGCGCGCTTTTGTTTTGTGGAAAATATGTACTTGAGTGGAAAGATGAGTGAGGCCGAGTACTTGGTGTACTGTGAGTGGTTCAAGAAAATGACGGAATATTTTGACTGTGGTGTTGATCTGGTCGTGTATCTAAGAACTGACCCCGGGCTGGTCCACGAGAGGGCTAAGAAGCGTGCCAGGACCGAGGAACAGGCAATACCACTGCAGTATTTTGAAGAGCTGCACGAGCGTCACGAGGAGTGGATTTGCGAAGAAAAATTCCCTTTGCCTGCTCCTGTGTTTGTCATAGATGCCAATGATGACCTGCCAACCATGTACACAAAATACAAACTGCATACCCGCCACATTTTAAGGAACAAATCAGTTCTTAGTTCCTTTGTTTAGTGTAAGTTAATGTGTTCAGTCAGGTGACGTTTCTCATGTTAAAAGTTTACCCAATCCTTAAATGTTGCTGTTGAGAAGATAACTACTGTAGTTATATTATCTGCAGAGCATCACACTGGTTACCTGATGAGTCTACCTATCTACAACAGTTTTATAGCTGTATGCTGTAGTAGTTAGGTTACCAGAAGATACAAAATATTTACTTGATAGTGATTTTATTGGACTGGTAATTCTAACTATTTTCACCACGCTTTAAAGGTTCATTTTGTTGAAGTCAGTAAGTTAAGGAATCGTCCCACAGTCTGGAACTTTTATATAGCAACGTTATGTGATATCAACGTGGGTCCCAGTTTGTATGTGTGTATTTGCTATACAAGTCAGATCAAGGTCACATAGCCAATACACTTTTTTTTACCTGACCTTACCTGAAGTTTACCCCCCCCCCTCATTGTTCCACCAGAAGTCTTGGTACTACCTGGGGTGGAGAGTCTTCACGTTGTATTTATTATTTCATGGGGTCAAAAAACAAATCAGAACGTTTATATATGGCTGAAATTCAAGCTCCAATGACACCATGTTTTGTACACATGTGATACTACTGTATAAACAAACCATCATCTAAGTACTGTATATATATATATATATATATATATATATATTGATTTTAGTGGGAAATAAAGTTTGCCAATGTTCAGCAACAGTTCAACAGTAACCTACATGTTGCATTGAAAGTAAATTATAATTGTTTTCATAAAAGAACAGGTTGTTTATAAACATTGAAAATATTAACTCGGACTCATGTGATGCTTCCATACAGTGAACCACGGTCATTGTTTAAAATGGTGGCTACAACTTAATCAATAAATAATTTACAAAAAGATGACTTGAACCAAAGTACAGTAACCTAAAATAATGTAATAAAAGAAAATAAATGAAACACTTGAAGTTTCCATCCACCCCCCAGCCTACAGTATATTTCACCTGAAGATTAACCACCCTAATGCTACCTGTGGGGGTATAGGTCAGGGTAGTTAATCTTCAGGTGAAAACAAGCTGGGGGAGTGATTGCCAAATGTCAACAGCTGACTCAATGCTGCCGTTTGGACAAATATTTAAAGTGGTCATACCTAAGTTTGAGTTAATTATTTTCTAATGTCTGTGACCTGTTTTTGCAGTATGAACTAATGGTTAATAATTTTACTAGAAATGGCTAGTAAAACACTAACCACAAAGGCTGTAGGAGCACTAGGTAACTGTTAACTAGATGGCCTTATGTTATAACCTTTGATCTCTCGGTACAGTGCTGTATGTTGAACAGAACTTGAGAACATTATACATCTTGTGCTGTCCAGGTCACAGATAATAGTTGAGCATATAATTGTTTTACAGTGTAGTTACTGGAGTTTATTAAGGTCACTTAATAAGAAAATACTGTACAAAGAACACTTTGTGTTCTATTGCTCTTTTACTAGAAATGGATTTTGTTTTGTAGAAAGTAGTCAAGATATTGTTCATGGAGTGTTCATTTCTGAAGGGTGTGCAATTTGTTGCACTGGTACTACAGTATACCGCACGGTACTGCACTGGATATATCCACTTTACAGTTTTATAATAAAGACTTATATTCAATAGTATATTCACTTTCCTTTATAGTGCCATTGTTACCTGTTGAGTGAGTTGTCTGTAGAGCAGCCAAAAATAATCTTTTATCTTGGAAAATGAAATCATTTCTGGTTTTATGTAAGAGATCATGTTGTTTGAAAATAATAATAATGAAGTTGGTGGAATGGTTATACAGTATGCTGTAGTGGATACCGTATGTGTAATCCAAGTGGACCAGCTTGAGCTGCAAAGGCTGAAAGTTGATGTACGGTATTTATACAGTACTGTAAATTACTTTCTGATAACTTAGTTTCCATGTGGTCCAAAGTTATGTTTTAACAAGAGCCTGGTAGGGGTACATTTAATGTACAATACTGGAGAATTATTTTGGGTGTGAGTTGTTCATAACAGCTCAGAGTAATAGTACCTCACCAGTTATTGTTATAACATGTAAAAATGCGTAGTGGGTTAATGGTAGTCATATCAATGTGGAAAAGGGTATAGGTACAGTACTATACATGTGTAGGGATCATTTAAGAGGAAAAATTTGGGGGCACATCTAGAATAGTTTGTTTGCCCTTAAGGAAATTTACATCTAACCTTGCTATCACATTTTATCCTTGAGGTATTAGAAGTGACACACAGCAGTGATGACACCAATCCCACTCGGTGTGTACCGGGTAATTTTCTTGATTTAAAGGCAAAGTTTTGCTTAGGGGTAGGCTGAGAGGATTCCAGCACGTGAAGAGAATGGGGAAGATCGGTTGGGTCAAGAAATGCACAAGCTTAAATGTGGAGGTGAGGAGACCTAAATGTAGTGTACAGTTGGCAAAAAAGTTCTCAAACTGCTGGACACGACAGATGTCAGAATGAGCACTATGGCTCTTGTCATCTCAGAATGATTGGTGTGCCTGGTTGTGAAGTGAATCTCAGTACAATACAGTAAACTATTTCATAATAATATATGTTGCTCATCTTTATAGTACAGTAAATGCAGGTGAAAAGGAATACAAGTACTGTACTGTACAGTAATTTATTTTTCAATAAAACTTTCTCAGAGAGCAATGTTCAGATTTCTCATACATTTTGTCATATTGTATTATACTTAAGAGCTTTTAGGAACTTTTTTGTCGACTGTACAAAGGAAAACAGATTCTCATTGAAAGATAATTGTGTCAGTTAAGATGTATGTATGAATGTTTACCATTTTGAGCTTTTCACCAACCTTCTGTTTTACCGTCTAGCTACTAAAGATGCAGATTTCATATAGTATGTATTATACGGTACAGTATTATGTATGCACTTAAGTTTTTAAGGCCTATTATGTGAGAATCAAACTGTTGTGTGGAGAGAGCAAATAGTGTAATTATTTTGAGGGAAAGTAAAGGTTAGGTGAGAGTGTTTGAAGAAGAAAAAAGATAGCAGCACTGTACAGTATTAGGAAATTTTTTGTGAGAGCCTCAGAGGAGACAGTTTGGGAATTATTATATACTGTACTGTAGTGAGTTCCAGAAGAATGATGTTATCTGTTTTCATACTTTGGACTAAATTACTCATCTGAAAGAGTCTTCATGTAGTTGTTGTTATAGAGTTATTGCTGCACTTCAACAACTAAGGTCTTTAACCATGTAACAAGGTTAGTAATACATTCTTCCATCAACAATCAAAATTTATTAGTTAACTCTCTTATCTTCATGAATGCATCGTAGATTATGTGCACAGTTTATCCTTGCAGTGCCTCAGGAAAATTCATGAATAAACCTGGAAATATTTCATCTGTTCTCTAAACTAATAAATTTTCACTTCATGGAATTCTTAGTCATCCATATTGCTTACAGTGAAACTCCTAAAGAATGTCCATCTATGTGTGTGTACTAGTGGTGTTGTAATGCAGCAAATATTGGGAGGTTTATTGTAGGTTCACATGAAGTTAGTGAAATATGAATATCTGATACTGTAATCTGATTATGAAAAGAGTTTAATGAAGTAACATAGAATACTACACTGTTGTTGGGGTATAATGAAAAACTCTTAGAAAAGAATATTAAATGGCTAAGTTAGATTAATAATGTGGAAGAGGAAAGTGAAGTAGTGTGTGGAAGTAAGTAAAAACTAACATCTTAAGAAGGTTAAAATAATTACCAGTTGATTAGCTCACCTCAGTTAATGCTACATTAAAATTAAAATTTAAACATTGCTTCATGAAAACCATTGTTAGTGGAGGTGGTCCCCAGCTTCTGAATAAAGTGATTGATACCATGTTGTTATTTTTATTTACAGTACTGTTACTCAGAAACGCCGAAGTGATCTCAACCCTGAGGAGTTGGCTGCCCTCGAGAAAGAGGAATTTGCCACAGGACCGCTGCGAATTTTAAACGAGTCTGTCCAAAATAACACCCAGGTGAGAAATTTATTAGGAGTACGGGTACAGTAAATTGGTTTGTCATAGCTACTGTACATTCTTCAAACTGTGCATTATGCAGGTTGACCATCACTTGTCCAACATTCCATTGACCAGCAACTCTCAATTCAGGGCACTTTCAAACACCACATAGTTGGCTACTTGGTGGTGTGTGGCAGTTGTTCCAGGCCTAGAGTGTTTCCCCTAGTTCATAGTACATAATGATTTATAAGTGACCATTAAATACTGTGCCATATATTATGTTTTCCCTGACCATTATTTGATCACATTCATATTTGCTCTTTATTTTTAAATGCAAACATTGTACTGCTTTTACATTTTATTGAAAGTGGCATGCACAGCACAGTACAGTATATTACTTTCAGAATTTCTTTAAAGTTAATTATTATATTATCAGCTCTTTAAATTTGTGGATTTTTCATTCGGTAAACTAAGGGAACTGTAAACCACCTTGTAAACACTGAGGCCGTGTTCTTGCTAACAGGATCTCAAGTTTCGTCGTGTTCGATGCTTAGGTAAATGTGACAACTTTGGAATACTGTGGATATTTGGGTCTCAGTGTGAAAAATTTCTGGGTAATTCAACATTAACAAATGTCTGAATTAGTGAAGGGAAGATTAGAGGGATTAGAGTGTATGGCTATAGCAGGGGATTACAAATGATCTTCCTGATTTTACACAAGCTACAGCAATAAATGGCAATAATGAAAAAAATGAGAATTTTATTTTCTATATTGATAATGCTCCTGAATAAGTAATTGCCTGATCCTCATATTGGGTGTTGGGCCTGGAGGACACATTCCTTGGCTGGCTTATTCGCCTGATCTAGGTCCCTTGCCTTTTTCCCTCCGGGGCGATGTCAAAAATGAAGTTAGAAAGAGTAGCCTGTACTCAGGTTGAGAGAGCCGTGAACCCTGAGAAGTTTCCATTGTTAGGGCTCGGCCGGTTTACGGTCAATTCGCCCACATTTAGGAGTCGGTACGCCCACACCTGAAGTTAGTTCGCCCTCACTTTGTCAAGTCCTATTTATATTTATTCATGTACTGTACTAGATAATGTAATAAATGCAAATTAACTGCCAGGTCGTTTATTCGGTGACTTTCAAATATAAAAACCTATATAAGATACACAAACTAAAAAGTTTTAAGTTGTCATTCATAAAAGTAACATACTGTAGGGTGGATTTAGGATGTTTGGTGACATATCAGCTGCTAACTGGTCCATTGAGATGGGCGGAAGCTCTCAGAAGTTGGCAAGCTGAATCTCTCATTCCTCAAGTATTCGTCCCAAAGAATGAATATTTCGGCACATTGCATTGAATGCAATAATCTTGACAGTCTGCCATCTTGCCATTGACTGACTAAATCCACTGGACTTAAACAGTTATGAAACCTACAGATGATATCTTCATAGTTTTGAAAACTTTATTGGAAGTTCAGTTTTTTACATTAATACATTACTAAACCTAAGTAAAACAGGTGTGGGCGAACCGACTCGATAGTGTGGGTGAATCAACTCTAAATGTAGGTAAAATAACTTGTGGGCGAAGTGACCGGATTCCGCTCAGCCAATAGCCATAAACACTGAAATCCTCGGCGTTTCGACTACCAATTGAGCCTTAAATCTGGTTTATCATCCCTTGTGTTAGGGTACTGCCAATAGAATCTTAACCATTTACCTGTACAACACTAATGTTCTATGTTGTAGCTAAGTGATAATGACATCAAATGGAAATTTTGCTTTTAAGAATGTCGTTTGAGACATTTGATAAATAATTTGCCAAATAGTATCAGTTTTATTTTTGTCTCTGCAGGTTCTCATCAACTGCAGAAACAACAAAAAGCTGTTGGGTCGAGTGAAAGCATTTGACCGGCATTTTAATATGGTATTAGAACAAGTGACAGAGATCTGGATGGAGCAGCCTAAGACAGCTAAGGGTCAAAAGAAAGCAAAACCAGTTAATCGTGAAAGGTGAGTTGCTTTTGTTGCTAATTAAGAGGTACAGATTGCTGGAAGAAGACTGTAGGAGGTTTTGTCTGGGAGAAGTAGATCCCATTTTTACACATCAAACAGGTGTAAACTGCTCAGAACTTGTTAAGGAGCCTTCATATTTATATTTCTGATTACTACAGTACTTACCTACATTGTATACACTTTTATAGTTCAGAAATTTGTACTGTATAATTATCATAATCTTATGCAATATTACAAGGTGGAGAAACTACTATGCCCTTATTATGTACTAAATGGTAATTCTGTTTTTCCAAAAGGTATATTCAAAAGATGTTTCTGCGAGGAGATTCCGTGATCATTGTGGTGAAGAACCCCCTTGGTAGTCAGCAGAGTGCTTAAGTTAAATTTGTGAGTTACGTATATGTATGAGAATTTTTATAAGTCAGCGATGAAGAGCTTTTATAATGTCATGTATAAACATTTATGTCACTTATGAGTAGTATGTGCTGTATTTAGGAGTGTCAGGTCTTATGAGGGAATAAGATCATTAATCAGTTTTATTTGTTTCTTATACAGTACAGTAATCATTTTCTAGTTTCCCTTGATCAAAATTTTCTCAAATTTCCTTAATCAAGTTATTACTAAGTTTTATAATAAAAGAAAAAAAATGTAACGGTAATTTGTTTCTCTGTCCTTGTACTGTATGTATGGTGTGTTCTTAACCCTTATGAGGCCTAGCATACGACTGCAACGTACCTCATATGAGAACAGCCATACAGTATTCTTAAATTGCACACCAATTTTAGCATTCATAAAGTGCGTCGTGGGTCTGAGTTGACCTCTGTAGGGCTCTCCTTTGCCTTCGTCTTCATGGCAGATGCCTTTTATCGGCATTCTCCCACGGCTCCTCTTCCTCCCCTTGAGTAACTCGGCCCCTCTTGCTTATTTAAACATAATAAGGTTTAATCAAGGGAGAAAGTAGTTTCTTTTCTACCTCTAAATTCACAAATTATTTAGTTTTGTACATTCATTGAGAGATCTGAAAATAAGGAACATTCAATACAAAGTACGTACCCTGTAGTAAGCAGCTACCAAACAGGGAGGTACTACCGCCTGGGAATATATTGGAAGCATAATGTGTTGTCTAATGGTAGACCCTGCTGCCATATGGCATCACAAAAAATGGACCAAGTCCCAGGTTGCTCATCTGACTTTCTGCCTCATTTACACACAAGAGCAGGGTCTCGATTGTTTCTCTTACTTCGACAACACAACATACATATATTGCTTTGCACTCTTGACCTTTTTTGTTTGTTTGTTTATTTTTTTTTTTATTTTTTATTATCATCATCATCATCATCTGCCCCCAGGCAATTCTGTAGGTCAGTGACCTGTGCCCAGGTGGGCTAATCCCTGTAAAAAAAAATAATGGTGGTCTTCTGGTACAGCTAGAGAAACGAATTGATGCTTACTCTGAGTAAAATATGTCTGAATTTCTGCAGGATTTAATTGTAATCAGTGAATGTGATCTCAAAGTGAAATGTGAATATCTTGTAGATGTGTATTTGTCAGATTTGGATAAAAACATTGGTACAGAGTTGCTACAATTTGGCCATATTGTAAAAAAAAAATTTGTGATCAAAGACTAGAATCCACATTTCCAAACACAGACATTTTGTACTTTTACGGATTTATCGGAGCCTTACGGTAACAATTTGCTTTGGAGAAAGATCTTTTTCAAAACATACGTGAACAAAAAATTCTTATCAACTATGACTCCAAAACGATTAGTTAAATTGGCACATGAGTATGGAACATGATGTACTGGAGAACAATGATTTTAACAAGCTGATTAAAGCATTTCCTGTTAGAAGCACCGTGTCAATCCACATATAATATAATGTGATGTAAAAGTAATAAAAAGTGTATTGTTATGTTTTTGTCTATTATTCATGTCCTGTGAGTTACTACATATTTAAAAATTATGTGATATTCAAGTATTAATATATAAGTACCTAGTGGGACACCCCCTAGTGAAGGTTTTTATTTTAATTATATACCAAAAGGACTCCACAAGCATAGTTGTCATGGGGCATCTACCTACCATAGTCTCGCCCAAGTGTTTCTCAGAGGGCAGGTGTGGTCATCAGTGTAGGTGTGGCCAAGTATGGTCATCAATAGTGTAGGTGTGGTCATCAGTGTAAGTGTGGTCATCAGTGTAAGTATGGTCATTAGAGTGTAGGTGTGGTCATTAGAGTGTAGGTGTGGTCAATAGAGTGTAGGTGTGGTCATCAGAGTGTAGGTGTGGTCATTAGAATATAGGTGTGGTCATTAGAGAGTAGATGCTCAGGGACGGATCCAGGAGAATCAAAAGGGAGTCCAAGAAGTTACGGGTGGGGGAACATGGCGAGTGCAGCGAGCACACCCATCTGGGGGGGGCGCTGTAAGGCCCCCAGATTTTTTTTTAAATCTGACCAGTATCATGGGCATTTAGAGGCCATGTGCCTCAATAACGGCGACACAGCACTAGTTCATAGACCTTGCTTAGGCTTGCCTCAAACGTTGAAATATGCTACACAAGCACCAAGGGCTGATCCAGGGGGGTCTAGACTAGCCTAAGCAAGGTCTATGAACTAGTGCTGTGTCGCCGTTATTGAGGCAACATCGTTGGTGGATTCTTTGGTCTATGTTACACGAACGGGTAGAGGCCGTTCACGTAGTCGGATTCATGTGTGGAGGGTTAGAAGAACGGCCCAGCTGGATCACCTCGGTAAACTAACACAGCTTGGTGGTGCTCTTACAGTACTCTTGTTTTATGGGTGATGTTGTGTGTTAATAACTAGTGTGTGAGGATTAACACCAAATTATCAGATGTTTGGATGATACTGAGTAGTAAGATCAGTGACATGGTGTTTTTTGTTTTAGTCTATCATTCGATCATAAGCTGCTTGTTAGTGGGCAGAGTATAAAATAAGATGGAAATAACATGATTAAAAACTGATCATATGGCAGCAATTTCATGTTTACATCATTTTAGAAGAAGAAATAAAATATTTACCATAATTATGTTGCTGTCGGATCTTCCATGGCCACTAGTCTTTGGTCCATATCCCCTGCTGTAAGGAAGTGTCCACGAGCTTTGGGTGTGTTTAATATGATTTATATTGAATTCATTCATTCATTTTATTTAGAGATGTTGTTTGGATGATAGTAATTATCGAAGAAAATCGAAACAACAATGCAAAGTTAGGTCAGGTTCTAATGGATTCTGTACATTCTCGCTTCCATTTTCCTGTTCAGTGTCATGAATATAGTATATCCATAAATTTTGGTTCATTTCCCTAAGTTATATCTGGTGCTAACTGTCTCCTTCACCTTTATGTAATACATAAATGTTGTCAAGCTGCTCGTTCAGGTGTACAACTATCATAAAATATTGCTTAACGTATTCCTTCCCATTTATCTGTTATAGAAAAATATCCTCAGGTTGTTGGTTAATGTCAGTTACTGTACTCCTCCAGTATTACCAAAAGCAGTCGGCTTCTACAGGACTAATCTAAACTTGGTGTTTTAGGTGAGCAAGAGATCAGATATTAGGTCATGCAGCACTTGTCAAGAGCAGAAACCTTTTACCCTGGGTAGAGGTGAAGGAGACAGTTAGCACCAGATATAACTTATGGAATTGAACCAAAATTTCTGGAGATACTATATGCATGACACTGAACAGGAAAATGGAAGCGAGAATGCTCAAAACCTGACCTCACCAACCTAACCAAAGAACCCTACATAACCTTATCTTACTTCCTAGCCAAGGAGCTCTGCCCCCAGACCCCTCGGCATATTATGCTGAAAGAACTCACGAATGACTTAAATATACCAGGGGATCTAGGGAGTGGGACCCCCGGTTGGATGATTAGATTAGATAATTTTAGGTCATTTACGAGGGAAACGTCATAGAAGAAAAGTGTCTTAAAATTGTCAGAACCATCGGAAAAACACATTGCTCAACTCTTGAGCTGTGGTGGGTCTAAACTACAAATTGACCGAATAAGTTCAGTGATTGTGTGTGTCAAGTCTGACAACCTCTGGAGGCACACATTGATTTGATGGCCAACTACTGTACTGTACATCATGGGATGAAGTTGTGTCATTACCAGAGTCTCCATATCCATATTTTGTGAACTTTTACTTGTTTCAACCATTTCTTCCATACAATTGCATGCAAGGTCACCATATGTGACCTAATTTTCACATGTCATTGCATGTCTGAAGAATATCATTTCTGGGCCATTTCCTTCATACCATTACAAATAAGATCATCAAATTTTGTAATGTATTACATTTTGGGAGAGTAAATGTTATGTTGCTGTATCACTTTTCATGCACAAGTCCATACATTAGGTGTAAATGTGCCATTGTTGGCTCTTTGTCACCAATGTCATATGGCAGGAATGAAGACTTGTCACAATTACTGTACAGTATTGTACTGTAATTTCATTCTTATACTGAATGTTTATCTGAAAGACTTTTGTGCTGTATATGATGAATCCCCCTAACTATCTTCTCTTCTCAACAGTTGTGTCTATGCAATGTTCAGTTCATTTCTTCCTCAACAAATCTGCCTGAGAAGAATTCCACTGGTAGCCCTCACCCGGTACAATGCCACTGTAGTGCGTCCACTGTCTAGCTCACTCAGATGTTACCAGTCCACAAAGAGTCAGGTTGACTCAATAAAGAAGACTCAACAAAATGGAAATAACTTTGAAATAATATACAAGTTTCCGTACATCAGGCTGGCTCACGCATTGTGCCGTCTGAAGATATACCAGACAGGCCTCACGGGTCTTGCTGTGCCTGGGGCTGGATATTTTGTGTTTTTGGGAAGTTTAGATCCTGGGAGTTTTGTTGCTGTTGTTGTCATTAATGGGTTAGCCTTTCTGATGCTCTATGTTATGGGAGAGATCTTCCGAAGGACAGTCGGCCATGTTTATTATGACTCGAGGAGCAATTTAGTTAAGGTGTCACATCTGACCTTCTGGGGAGGACGTAAGGACGTACACATCCCCTCCAGTGACATAGTACCACTTACTGACACATCTGATAATCTTGCTGACATTTATGTTCGTCTCTTAAGATATTCTCAACCCAAATTCTCACTCTTCCTTTGGCTCAGATTTGGTGGCATCATTGATTACCAGAAATTTAATAGTGTCTTTGGTGATCTTCATCCAGAGGAACAACTGAAAAAGTTAGACTAGATCAAAATATTGTGGTGAATTGATGAGTAAGAACAATTAATTATTGGAAATTAGAAAACAGAGTTGAGGATTTATGTATTTACAGTACTACAGTATGAGTCATATCAAGGACATGTTTATAGACTTGTTGTACTAAAGTGTTTTGGTGAATATTGTATTGTATGTAAGTGATAACAGTACTTGTAAAAAATATAACAACAGTAATGTACAGTATCATATAAGATAAGCATGCTAAGATAAAATAGGTGATGATGGCCACCCTGGAGCTGACACCAAGTTTAGATTCCCTAGTGGATGAAGATGAGATCAGCCACACAGTAGTGCAGCAGCTGAACTCAATATTTGGAAATGATCTCAAGAATCTGGAGAAGGTCTCTGAGTTGGTTGAAGAGCTGACCAAGACCAGGGATGAGTTGGAGAAGAGGGTGAGTCACTCTGTAATTCTTACCATTATTTGCACTAATTACCAATTCCTTGCACATACTTTAATGCATTAGGCATGAGCCAATTAAAGCCAAGGGTTTATTAGTAGCTCCTCACCCGATGACACATTCTGTTAAGAGAAATAAGGCGAAGAATTTCAACTGTTGCGAGTCAATTATGACCTTTTTTGTGTATGCTTAAATAATTACATAATTTCTTGCTTTAAAATCAAATTTTACAATAATTACCAGTACATGTGCTGTACAGTATATGAAGTTTTATACTACTTTTGAGAGGCAGAGTAAAATGGAAGTACAATACAGTATTCACAGCTCTCCAAAATGAATACCGGGTACTCAATAATAAATTTAGAGGGTGACCAGAAGATGGAATACATGTACAGTATAGGAAGAGACAGTTTAATGAGGAGAGGAAGCAGAGATCAATGTTTGTCATGTTATAAAAAGATATGTAGTACTGTACACTACTTTGTTAAAAAAAATGCCAGTGAAGTGAAAAAGGAATTACCTAATTGATAAATTACCAGAGACAACATTGATTTTATAATTATTTTTCAGTTGCGTTTTGCCACTACAGAAGCTCCAGACAAGATCACAAAAGCAGTGAAGGCAGCTGAAGAGGCTCTGAGCAAAGAGAAAAGTCTTGAAGAGGAGTGTAACAACCTTCAGGAACAAGTGAGTAGTGCAGTGCAGTAGAGGGGGTCCCCGGGTTATGAACGGGTTCCATTCCTGAAAACGTTCTTAAGTTGGAAATGTACGTAAGTCAGAACACATGCTATATGCATACTGTACTTACAAAACAATTTTTAAAATTCCACTATATCATAGCCTAAGTCCTTATATATGTCTAAAAATCACTTAATTTAAGACAAAAGAAGAACTAGAATGACAAAATACAGTAAATGAAAGTAAAAAAAAAAAAGTCCTCGGGTAAATAAAATGCTGTAAATTTAAAGTTTAACCTCGTTCGTATCGGCGGGCATTCATAGGTTATCTGGGCTTGTGGCTTCTTCAACCTTGTAAAGCTGTTACTCCACAAGGGGTAACAGCTTTACAAGGTTGTTTCGTAGTACTGTAGATGTTCCATTGTGGCATCTCTGATAATGCTCTCAAGTACTTTACATACTATGCTGGTCAGGCTCATCAGTCTATAGTTGTTCGTGGAGTGACAATCACTGGGGACCTTTTGTTTCATCCAGGCATTTACAGAACAGGATCTTCAGGGGCTCGGCAAGCTTGTTGCACAACTCTCTTAGCACTCTGGGAACCATGTGAATATATTACCCTGATATAAATCTCGTGCTGTTGTGTAGTTAATGGACTTTGTAATGTAATCAAACCTTTCATTTTGTTGTATGTTCAGTATAAATATAATTGACTTGATTGAAATATATTCCTTTTTCACATCAATCCACAGGCCAACGCACACACACAAAAATATGACGACCTTCTGAATGACATAGGACCAGGAGTTCGACAAGTGAGGGAATTAGAGCGTGTTAAATTGTACCAGGAATTTGTATCTGCTGTTGATGAGCAGAGGTAAGGGAAACTGTTATTACATCATTTAAAAGTATATAGTATAACATCCTCTAGTGAGCACACAAATTGTCTTTTCTTTTGACTTCATGATCTCAGCTGTTTTGGGGTTGGTCTTTTGGCTCCTTCTCCTTCCCACACCTAATAGTCCTGTGTTTCCTATCTTGTTACCGTATTCCCAACTCCCTTGTATCATTTGCAACCGTTATTTCTTCATCTTCTTCTTACTTCAGTTCTTGTATGTTTCATCTGCATTTTTCTTACTCTCCTGAATGCAGTTTGAAATGTCAAACAGTGACAGTTTGTACCAGAATAAGGGTGTAAACTATATCAGTAGCATCTGAAAATGCATGCATGGAGTAGTAACAAATGGTAAAGACACAGTTGTTTTGTAATCATTGGCAAGGTCTTGTTACTATTATTCTCCTCCATAAAACACAACTTTAATTAGAATGTAAATATGATATGTTTATATTTTCACGAATTTATAAGTTGAAATTACCCCTCAGCTATGCACAAAAGATTGTCTCAATGTAAATACAGTATCATAGTGTGTATCATTTACAGCACTAGTTTGGTTCACATAACTATTTATCATACCGAAAAACATCAACCCATTCATAGCTTTAATAATTAGCTGTGTAGAAGCAGTTTTCAGTCTTATAACTAAACTTTGATGTGTTTTGTACCTGTACAGTAAAGAGATAGAGGCAGCACTTCATATTGGTGCTGAGGGTCAGGCTCTGGTGGGGTACTGTCGACTCATGGACACAACAAAAGCTGTACAAGGCTCTCACTGCTTGAACCTGGTAGCTTTTGTTACCAACACTCTTCTCTACTGGCATCAAGTCTTCACCCTCAGGTTCACCAGGTATGATTAATACTGTACAATGAATTTATAATTAGGTGATAAATGTCATTTACTCTGTCAAACTCAGTACAGTAGTGATATTAATAACTATACACACACACACACACACACACACACACACACACACACACTCTTACATGTATTAAACACTGAGTGATTACAAATGATATTTCTGGTTTTAATCACATATTATGAAGAAACAAACAAAGCTTAGTTCACATTGGGCACACCTTCATGGTCTTATCATATAGTATATCATTAATATTTTATGTAACTACTGTACTGTACACAATCCTTTCTTTTACTGAAACAATGATAGGCTTAGTCAGCATATAGCTATGTGGACAGTTAGTACAGATATACATTGTTAACCAACTCTTACAGTAGGTTATCATAAAGGTTTACATGGTGACTCGAACCATTTTATTTCTAGTGAGTTTGAAGGTGTACTGAAGACCATCAAGTGGCCCTTCACCACTGGCAACGACACTGTGCACCAACCACCAGCCTCCCCTGAGTCCCTCCAGCGACTGTGTACTCTCACCCAGTACTTGTTACAGCTGTCCCTGCCAGGTATGTACTGTACTTTACCCTCACCCAGTACTTGTTACAGCTGTCAAATGTACCCGTACTGTACAGCTGTCCCAGGTATGTACTGTACTTTACCCTCACCCAGTACTTGTTATCAAATACCCGTACTGTATCCCACAACTATCAGGAGGAACATAATTATAACATCACATGTTAAAGTATAGCTTGTAAATAACCCCTGATTACCTTCTAATCACTGAGCTTATGGCTGTTGATTGGTGCTCTTGAACCAAGATGATATAGGAGGTTGGCACTCACTGGCACTATTTCTCTTGGCTGCTGCTTACAAACCCAACCACAGATGGACTCTCACTCTCCCTGGGTGCTCCACTCATGTTACATCTTGGCTCCTGCAATACATCCAGATAAACCACAGCAAAAAAAAAATTGTTTCCTATGTAATGGCTTTAATGCAACCAGTAGTGAAGAAACCCTGCAATATATTAGGATTTCATTGTTTACTTTTTGGGTTAAAAGGGATGATTTATTATTTTTACTAATTTACAGATAATATAACAAGTGAGAATTCCAAGCGACCAGAATCTCCAGTCGCCTCTCCAGCAATTGTGACCGACTTTGTATCTCCAGTACTACCCATTCACCTCTTGGTCAGACCGCTGGAGGTATGTAGCTGTCTGGAACATGCTTGAATAATATCTACATACAAAATCTTGCATAATATACCAGTGAGTTTTTACTCTGTATTAGTTATAGTGAATTCCAGAGGTATGAAAGATAAGTTTTGCTTGAAGGTTTTTAATAAGTTAACTCTAAAACTGTTCATTCTTCAAAACTGAAATTGTACCATATATTCCTTAGGACACAAATGAATACCAAACTGTTCTATGTGGTTTCACTTTCCAAGATTACATTTTGAGCTTCTGGTTTCTATTTCAGGTGAGATTCTTTTTCCACTTCAGTGGTAATAAGCCAACAAATAGTCGGGAAAACCCCGAGTGGTACTTCACTCAAATCCTAAAGTGGATCTCTGCCCATGAGAATTTCCTCAACTCACGTATCCAGCCAGTTTTAAATCGCCTCGGCCATCAAAACACTTCTGCAAAAGTGAGATATTTTTAATGTAATAATGGCTCTAGCATGGAGTCATAATGTATAGGTATCAGCAGTAACAGATGGCACACATGGATAAACCCTGTTGCTACGAATTAGAATCCCATATTAATGTGTTGAGACGTTAGAATTTAGTTCATTGTAAGCCTGCAAGTATATGTTCCACCCTATTTAGTTAGTAATAAGATCTATAGACAGAACATTGGTTGATCTGCATAAATATTCATATGGGAACTGATTGCTTACAATAACACAATTACATAATTTTCTCTATCGAAAAAATACTAATGTTGAAATTGTTTTGTTGTTTCATTATTCTATAATGGTTGCTGTATTTAAACTTAAGGGAAACAGATGTTTTCAGTCTGTTACTGAATAATTAATTTGTGCCATGCATTAACATTTTTTAATTTATTCCCCAGGTGGAGTTCATGAGAGGTCTAGTGCGCCTGGTTGTCATTAAGTTGGCTGCAGACCTTCCTGATGTTCAGTTTGATGATGACATCTTCTGCTCCACTGTCCAAGAGACACTTAATTTTGAGAGAGAGATGAGTCTGACCTATGGGTACCCGTCCTCACAGCCCTCTGTTCTCTCTGTCTTGACTCAGGGTCGTATCTTTGCACGCTGGATACATGTTGAGAGAAAGTGTAAGTATTTTCAGTCTGTTTGATAATTTAAGCTGCTGTTTTCACAAATTCATTTTTTTTCTTTTTACATATTTCTGGCATTAATTGTGAATAGCCATTTTCATAAATAATAAAGTTATTGGCATCCAGCGTTCAGTAACGTGTTTATTGGATCAACATCGTGAGCATAGCAAGGAAGTGTATACTGTACCTGGACTGGTGAATTTTACAGGATGGTTGTGGAGGAACTGTATACAGTATAAGGAAGGCATTACTAAAGATGTTCGAGCTAAGACTTTTTAAAGTTTCTAAGTTACTTGTCTAGTGCTATTGTGCGTTAGTTTTAAACCTTGCATATGCTGTGCAGTTATTGAAACATCTTTGATTCATTTCCCCTCCTTTTACGTTACTAGAATCTTACTTTTTATTTTTGTACCAAACTTCAGTTGCTCAGGAGCTGATGGATGAGCTGGTGTCAGACGAGGGAGCCTGGGTAGCGGTGGAGGGTGGTGAGGCAGCACACTGTGGAGAGCGCTTGATCCTGCTCCTCCAGGGCATCACTGACCGCTACAAGAGACTTCCTCAGCCGGGACACAGGTGACACCTTTCTTCTATAATGCCTTCATCTACCATTCTTTTCTTGATGATAATATCCATGTACCTCACTCAACAAATTATTCTCAGTTGATGGCTGACCAAGGTTTGCCAAAATGGTACATTTCATTTTCTTTTTTGCAGCAAACTCAAAGTAACACAAGCTCTAATCTTTTACTTATTATTACTTATTATATCTGTAACTAATTTTCGTAATGGACGAGTTGACGGTCAGAAATTTTTCATACGATGCCAGGTCAATGAGTAAAGAAAACGCTTAAATTTACTGTGGGAATGATATTTTTAGATAAATTGGGCAAAAAAGTGTAAAAAATAAGGGTTAACGTTGTTAAAAAGTCACGTGACTGCGAAAAGCTCTGTGATTGGTTGTGACGTCACTGGTTGGGGCGAGCCGCCCTGCGGGAGGCTGCCAGCTGTGGTGTATGTGTTGTTACCAGCAGAAATACAGGACTTGTGGCCATATACAATGTTGATATACACAGGCATACCTTATTTTTAGGTTAAAATAAATTACTGCTCAAGTATCATCGTTCTCTATATCATGTTTGGAAAATGTAAGTTTTCATCATTGATGTCTATATTTAATGTTGTGGAAGGACTAGGGACAACCATGGCCAGGGGATGGGCTTGAGATGATCAGATGACAGATGTAATTTAACGTGCTTCATAGCTGGATGGCCGAGTTTTTTATAATACTCTACAATCATAAAGATATCTACCTTTGGTAAAAAAATTTTGTCTGCCTTGATGAACCCTGGATGTAGTTGTCCAACCGTCTCGGCTGATCGGCTCTGTAAATAAATATTATTCGATAATTATTTCATAGTATAAACATTCTAAAAAATATTGATATTATTTTGGTTTTGTTCATCTGGGGAACCATAAGATTCTAACTATGGGATTAAATAGTTTAAGCAATAAGACACATTATCACTTCAGGATTTCTGTCGCAAAACATTTTTCGATTACATAAGAAAATACAGGTCATATGTTAGGTTAGGGTATGATTAGTTATAAGGTTACCTTAACATACGTACATCAGTAAGTGGGGGGGGGGGGTGGTAACTCGAAACTAGTGATTTCCAATAGAAATGAAGGTCAGAATTGTTCATAACACATTGCAAACCACCAGAAAAAAACATAGTCTGCATGTGTAAGTACAGGGATAACCAAAACTTAAAATTTACCCAAATCTTAAAATTTACATCCAAATACTTATAGTAGTTAAAGTAAAATTTTACCCATTAATTAATATAAATGATGATATATCCCAATGGTTCATTAGTGAATCATCAAAACAATAACAGCACTATGTTGTCATGTTTAGCTAGCACCAGGCATCCTCCAAACAAAGTCCAGACAATGTCATTACCCTGTACTTCTAAATTAACTCATGTCTCCATCTAGTACTGATATACTCTGTACATGCATAGAAAAAAAAGAGAAACTCTACCAGGTAAGAATACATGACAGCTGAGTTGGTGTGAACATGGGATTTTTTATGTCCATAAGAACATAAAAATGGAGGAAACTGCAGCGGGCCTATTGGCCCATACTGGGCAGTACCATTTACACCCAACCTCTATCACTCATATATCCATCCAATCTGTGTTTGAAGCAGCTCTTCATGGCACATTTCTTCATTTACGAAATGTCCATGACTTAGACCATAAAAAAACACCCTTAAAACTTACCTGAATGTGGCATTTGGGGTCTGTAAGAGGCCATCCTTTGTACACCAATGACTGCAACTGTGAGTTTGATAGAAAGCGTCATCTGCAGGGTAAGTGGTGACATCATTGCAAATGGCGGCCCTGTTTCTAGAGAAATAAACTTATCTCTACTATTATAGCAGGTCTTTAAACTTTTATTACAAATTATATATACCGTTTCACTCTACTAACATGACAGAGTGTATTTCTTGTGTTTACCCAGAACCATCAAACTCGTCCATTCTTCTCTACAGTAATAAATTTGTCAAGCCTTTATTGCTTAATTTTTTCACATAATACAAGATTGAACTTCCTCTGAGTAGAACACATTTCAGGTTACAGTTCCTGGAGCTACAACTCGAGCTTTTGGATGACTTTCGGGTGCGAGTGTTGCAGGTGATGAAGAGTGAGAGACAAGACCCTCTCACCTCCCATTACCCTGCCATCCTCAACACCGTCCACCACATCACTGCCACACTACATGACTGGGCAGACCTTCCTGTATGTTACTTGTAAACTAGTGTTTTACTTGCTTAATCTTCTTATAATGTATGTATATAGGTTAGGATACTCAGGAAAGACGCAGGACGTGGATTAAGAAACACTGCAATAAGAGGAGTTAGATTCTTGATTTGTAAATGGGATGGAAGTACTGTACTATATGGCTGTTCAGTAAAAACCAAGTGGATTTCACCGTTATTGATAGTGAGCACGAGCATCACGTCACTCATAAAGCATCACTTCATTGTTTTAGTGATCATGCAAAGAGTTAACATTATGATATATATTATGATACATTATGATATAGATGCACCAATAGGGTCAACCTGTACAGCACATAGTCAACAGTAAGCTAAGCCCTTTATTTGGTGGGATAGGTTGAGTTGGATGTGTTAGTGAAATTGGGTTTTTTGAAAATATTCCAAAAAAATTTACATTAAATTTTACTGTATTAAAGATTGATAGATCACCATAAAGATTTATGCATGTGTTCTTATGATAATTAAATGCAACCAAGTCCGTTTTCTCTTAATACAATTGAATTCAGTTCAGTTCAGTGGGATTTTGTAATGATTGTTTTTTAGCAGTGGCCACTGACAACACTGCTCTTGTACTGACTTAATGCTCACCATGTCTCAGAAATGATTACCCAAGGTTTGTGTAACAAAAACAAGTAATCTGTATGCATACAAAAAGAGAAAACATCTTTTGCATTTTTTGTACTGTATATCATTTGGAAAAGCGTTATCGTGAAATTGGTGGAAAGAACACTTAAGTAGTTATGTTGTGAAGAAAAAAGTACATATAAAAACTGTGTGAGCATCATTACTTTTATGTAACTACTCTAAGTTACCAAGAGTGAAGCATCTTAAGACAGGTTCATTACCAAGATTTTGGACACCCCCACATGGGTCTTGCTCTACTGGTTCTTACTCGTATTCAGATTGGAGACCAAAATTGGTTACAGTCTAAACAGTTTGGAGTTATGAGATTTTAATGAAGTCTATTTAAGTACAATTTTAATTACTGTACTGTACACTGTTATCACCTCAAAATAACCTGTTCTCATCTATACTGTACCTTGTTGCTTCCAAAGTATTGATGTAATTTTGTCCAACTTCAGATCATTTCTCTCATCATGGTTTCTTAATTGTGCTGAAATATTTTTTATTTATAATTTCTGTAGATAACAAGTATAAACATTGTATAAAAATTTTCAGTTCTTTGTGGAAATGCAGTACTACCAGGAGTGCTTTAGTAATATTCAGGAGCAGACAAGTGCAGCAATAGCTAGTTATGACAGCACTACTGCGTCCTCTACCTCTCCAGATGACCCTGGGTCCTTCACCTTTAATTCCCTTGATGTCTCTCTCTTAAATTCATCCATATCCCCTGAGCTACTAGCAAGACAGGTAAGACTTGAGTCATTTTTCTTTAATTTGAGGACAGTTGACTTAGGATTACACATTTCAGGTGCACAGTGTTTCTCACTTGAGGGTTTGTGTCTACAAGATAAAAGATATGAATGATGATTGTGGAATATTTTTTATGAATGAGTTGTATATGGAGAGATGAGATAAATAGAAAATGGGGTAAATTTACTGTCTGTAGTTTTTATCATAGGAACAAATGAAAAAATGGTCCTAATACAGTATTCCCTTAAAGCTTGCTGGGTTTAGGTTAAAGTGGACCCCGTTAGAAAGCAAAATCTGCGAATTTTTCATGCCAGTCCCACGTGTGTGCAAAATATATATATAAATAGCTATATGTACATGTATAACAACATTATGTATGTATAAGACAATATAATAAAAATAAAATAACATAAATATATAAACATAAAAATGAAATAACACTGTATGGACATTAGGTCCACACAGTGATAGCTAGTTGTGGTAGTAGCAATGTAAAGACAATACCTCTAAAACATCAGCTGATTTGGTGCACAGGATGTAAATAATCCCTGTACTGGACAGTTCCTTGTGATGATGCCCGGTACCAATAAGTATTTGTACTGTGTATACCGTAGGTACCTATACGTATTGAGTAAATTTTATTAATAATACCAACAAATGTTTGATAATAGGTCCATGAAGTGATAGTGAGCTGTGAGAAACATGGTAGCATATAGCCAGTGATTTTTTTTTCAGGATGCCCTTGATACCCTAAACGTAAATGCAGAAGTTCCAACAACGGCTCAACTGACTGAGGTCTTAGGTTCCGTGTTTGATGGAACTATGAAACTGTACACACACATTGAGGGGGAGATGGTTCGTACACTTGCCAGCTACGTCTTCAGTGAAGTCCGTGCCAGAAGCCAGCCTTACCGGCAGGATAAGTGGTTCCACACAGTGAACCCAGGAGCCTCAATGGACTTCACCAAAATCAATGAACTCAGCCCAAGTATCTGTCCTCTATTAGAAGTGCTTGCCAGACATCTCCATGCTCTCAGAGATGTTCTTGCAGCTCCACTTTTTATGCAACTGTGGAAGATTGTAGCAGATACACTAAATAAGGTAAGTTATCAGTGTAGACAAGAAGTTGTGAAGTACTCATTGTAGGGGTTGTGTTCCAAAAGAAGTTCACAAAAACCAATTTTGCATAAAGAGCCATTTGTTGTACAGTAATACAGATGCTCTCCAGGAACTCAACTAAACCTCCTACAAAAAAAGGAATTTTCTAACCATCTAATGAAGAATGCTAATGAAAGAGAACCTATCTAAAATTTTATACACTGAAAATATTACAAAATAAAACCGTTATTTACTTGAAAACCCATCATCAACAGACACCCTGGAATTTTATGTGAATTAGGTTCAGCTTCAAAATATTCTTATTTTGACAGCAATCTTACCATAAATTAATGATGTACTGTATGCCCCCCAAGTTTGCAGATTTTTACTTTGCGGTTCTCGGTTATTCGTGGATGACACCCTGGGTGTATCTAAGAATGTCTGTGGGTAGTTTTAAAGTTGCTGGCATTTTCGCAGCTGGGACAGGGAGACATTCGTTCTAGAGACAGTAATTTCTTTTACCTGTACAGTGAACCCTCACTTTACGCGGTTAATTCAACCCACGGCAGCCCGCGTAAAGTGAACAACATAACATATGGGATTAATTGAAATAGAGACCAGGCCGACCCCCAAACTCCACTTTTTCAGACACAATACCTACGTTGTAGTAAAAATAACTTCTTAATTTTTTGATGGTATACACACACAATTAATAATTAAGAGAAATATCAATAATATTAGGTTTTTTAACACTTACATTAGTAGAAAAGATGGCTGGGCACACGGGGATGGGGGGGTTGGTTCCGAAGCAGAGGGCAGATTATTGGCCCTCACCTGTATCACTTGTATCAATTGTATCAGTATCCACCACAGAGGCTTGCAGGGCCTCTTTGTCAAACCCCTCAAAGTCCATATAAGTCCATATCCTCACTATCACTGACTTGAGCCGGCTGTGGTGGGTGGCGGGTGAAGAACTCGGTAATGTTTTGATGACTGGGCGGCCTTGTGCGCACCCTGCTCGCGCCGCTCTCCGCTTAAAAGGGTACACACACCGCGGAAAGTGAGCATTCCGGTTTCGGCAGGGTACCGCGTAAACGTGGAAACGCGTAAAGTGGGACCGCGTAAAGCGAGGGTTGACTGTATTGTAAATACTGTATGTGTGTGTGTGTGTAGACACACATACAGTACAAATAAATATTAATTGGAAAATCCTCTCACAAATAATCAAACAATTTTAATAAAAATTTGACACTCTACCCTCAAGTCCGTGCTTTATTAATAAAGTAATAGAGCACGGACTTGAGGGTAGACCGTCACATTTTTAATAAATTTGTTTCTGATTATTTGTGAGTATTTTCCCATTATCATTTATTTGTATGTGTTTTGTGTGTGTGTGTGTGTGTGTGTGTCTACACACACACACACACACACACACACACACACAAAACATACTAAACTAAAAGTCTAATATTTTTATATCTTGATCAAACTAAGAGATGATTATACTCAAATTAATCGATATCTTGCAAGGATTCCAGCAGTGCAAGTTATATTCTGCTAAGTCAAGTCTGTGACATTTTATAATGGAAAAACTTTAAGTCTAAAACCACTTTCACCCTATAGAGTCCTTATCACCTGCTGGCTGGGAGGTGGAGGTGGGATGTTGATAGCCAGGAGGGGAGATCACCGGGTAGTTCTCAGTGGAAGGGGGACTCAGGATTATAAAAGACGGGGAGTTAAAAAACAGCTCTGCCGCTCCTATCCCAAGCTTCGGATCAATGGGAGACTCAACAAAACTTGCTGGGTATTTCCCCTATATGTAAACGTCGGTTATGCCAAACGATGGTTAACGAAACATTGGTTTTCAGGGTACAACTGTAATAGTTCACATCAATGTCTATATTGAACAGCCACAGGGACTTAACGCAATTAACGCATCCCTGTATAACACCCATTTACTCTTACAGTTTTCATAGAATACTTTTACTGCATCTAATAGCCTTCCTCCTACCCCATACACTTGTAATGCCTCCCACAATGCTTTTCTGTTCACCCTATCATGTGCTTTTCCAAATCTACTATAAATCATTAAAACTATCTGTAAGTAATAAAAAAATAACAAAAACTTATTAAAACCAAGAAAATAGATTATTATTAAAGAAAATCGTTGTTTAGTTTAAATCGCCTAACCCTGATTTTAATATTTTGAGGATTTATATTAACAAGAAATGATTAAAGTACAGTAATTTTTTTTATTTAAAGTTCTGCAACTATTTTACCCATCCCAAATATTACCTAAAGGTTTTAACTGTCGATTGCGAGGTTTTTCAGGGAATGTATCAGTTGTTTTGGATAATGAGCTACAGTGTGTATAATGTATATTCCTGTATTTAAGTACTACTAAAAAACCTGGTGTACTGTGTTGTATTATTAATGTGTATGTATTTTCTCAACAGTATGTGTACGAGGAAGTCATACTGCAGACACGGTTCAGTGATGTCGGTGCAGCTCAGTTTAAGTTTGACATGACTAGAGGAATTTTTCCCATTTTTGGAGCATTCACACAAAAACCCGAAAACTTCTTCAGATTGTAAGTTTCTCTGATAAAATATTAACATGTGCACATTAATGAAAGTACTGTTCAATAGATTCATTACTTCATGTACTATGTCAGGTTGGAAAAGAGGGAAGAGCTGAATTGTGGTGTGAAGGGATTAAGAGGTAAAGGGGATAATTTATTTATGTCAATCATATTTTCAATAAGTTATGCCTGTAAAAAAAATACCGGACAAGGATTTTTTAAATTTTCATATGAAATGTAAATTAATTGGTTGTTGGAGTATAGCAGTGATTGCCAGGTAGAATGACTCCCAGAGAATAATACAGTACAGGGGGCCCCGGGTTATGAACGGGTTACTTTGCTGAGGACGTTCATGAGGTGAAAATGTACTTAAGTCGGAACACATGTTATGTGTATACCATACTTACTGAACAATGTTTAAAATCCCACTATATCATATCCTAAAATCACTCCATTTAAGAGAAAGGAAGAAATAGAATGACAAAATACTGTACAGTACCGTAATTAAAAGTAAAAAATAAGTCATCAGGTAAGTTGGGGACCCCGTGTACTGTATACTGTACTTGAATGGACTTTCAGAGTACAGTACAGGGAGTAGATTTAGTAACTTAATTGAAGAAAAATGGAGTGGAATAAGTGGTTAAAAAGTCTGTTTTTCTGCAAATCCCGTGCAGCTTTATGAATTTAACTTTCAAAACAATTTTATTTTTCTCAAATAGGCACAGACAAGCAAAAATATGGTATAATTGGGGAATTCTCATGAAAATGCACGGATTTGCGGAAAAATTAACTTTCATGACACGAATTTGCGTGGTCAGCCTATAGCACTGTAAGATTTATTGGGGATCCCAAGAGTGAGGTTCAACTAAATGGAAAAAATCTCTATCCAGCACCCCTCAATCCCCATAGGTGCTGGATAGTTGAGATTTTACTGTATATATGTGTGAGAACAGGGTAGATGGGAAGATATATGCAGTGAACCCTCACTTTACGCAGTCAATTGAACCCACGGCGGCCCGCGTAAAGTGAACGACATAACATATGGGATTAATTGAAATAGCGACCGGGCCGACCCCCGAACTCCACTTTTTCAGACACAATACCTACGTTGTAGTAAAAATAATTTCTTAATTTTTTGATGGTATACACACACAATTAATAATTAAGAGAAATATAAATAATATTAGGCTTTTTAACACTTCCATTAGTAGAAAAGATGGCTGGGCACACGGGGATGGGGGGTTGGTTCCGAGGCAGAGGGCAGATTATTGGCCCTCACCTATATCACTTGTATCAATTGTATCACTATCCACCACAGAGGCTTGCAGGGCCTCTTTGTCAAACCCCTCAAAGTCCATATAAGTCCATATCCTCACTATCTTTATCACTATCACTGACTTGGGCCGGCTGTGGTGGGTGAAGAACTCGGTAATGTTTTGATGACTGGGCGACCTTGTGCGCACCCTGCTCGCGCCGCTCTCTGCGTAAAAGGGTACACACACCGCGGAAAGTGAGCATTCCGGTTTCGGCAGGGTACCGCATAAACGTGGAAACGCGTAAAGTGAAACCGCGTAAAGCGGGGGTTTATTGTACAGTATTTGTACTTTACAGTACACTCTGTGTCTTGGATAAGATTCTCTTTAGGGCGCTAAGTACCACCTTAAGAAAGGACATTTTATATATATATATATATATATATATATATATATATATATATATATATATATATATATATATATATATATATATATATATATATATATATATATATATATATATATATATATATATATATATATATATATATATATATATATATATATATATATATATATATATATATATATATATATATATATATATATATATATATATATATATATATATATATATATATATATATATATATATATATAGTATACTATTTGAATGTTAGAGAAGTATTTCTTTATTGCAGTACTTACATGAATTACTTTGTTTGTAGAAGTATGTTGATTTGTACAAAATAATTATTGCTCCACCAGGGTGAAGGAGTCGGTGATTCTTCTGACGCTACCCCATCCCACTGCATTCCTCCTGCGTGATACTATCCACATGTGGCATGACGATCAGGATGCCTTTAGCTTGGTTGTGTCCCCGGTGAAAGCATTAGGTGAACATGGCGTCACTCTACTAAAACCAAAGGAAGCTGATACAGTTTTAAACATTAGAATAAATGAACGTGACTGATGATGTTAGTAAGTCAAGAGGATATAAGAATTATCATGTGATTGATGCAATTTGCTGAAAGTAAGGACAAAATATACTGTATATTGTGTAAATTACCAGCTGAGACAACCCTCCTTGCCTTAAGGTCACCAATGATAGTAGCAAGATGGATAATACTTGGTTTATGTTGTGTAAATACAAGGTTCACATTCTTAAAAATGCACTGGGTTGACGGAAGTTAGGCACGAAACATTCACGTATTGCATCGTAGAAATACAAACTATCCAAACTATAATTTCTTTAGATTGGGTTAGGTGTAAAAAAATGCTCGACTGATTGTGTGACTAGACATATGAGCATAGTAATAAGAACTTTAGATCCTCATTTGTGTAAATGTTTCTGTACTCTTTGTGTACTGTACAGTAAGTAAATGAACTTTTTATTGTATTACTCTACTTTGCCAACTTACTAATAATGTTGTCAATCCTGATATTTCACAGTAAGATAGAAAAGCAACATTGTTCACCATTTTAGGAATAAAAAAAACAAAAACCTGCAGTTACAAGTTTAATTTAACTACGACAAGAGTTGTCTGTGGGCTCATGTAATATTAAAGAAATAGAAATATAAGGAAAATGAAGAACAAAATTATATGTTATATAGATGAGAGGAATAAAAATAGTCCTCATTATTATTATGGAGTGCTAGACACATACAGTAGAGTTCATCATTCATTCACCACAAGTCACAGGTAACGACTAACAACGTCTGCGTTTATCTAATAATGTCAGCACTTAAATGTATCTCAAACTTAGGGCAATTTTCTATACATTTTCATAAACCAAATTGTTAAGTGAACAGTGGTGTGTGTGTGTGTGTGTGAGAGAGTACTGGAATCTAGGCAACAGTGCAATCCAGTCCTATCTGTGCAGTTGAGCAGCCCTTTCTAGGAGCCACTCTGCTCACCCTACATGGGGAGGTAGATAGAAAAGGTGCCCTATGACCACTATGGTCATCCTAATGCGGTCAAAAACATAATCATGATCATAGATCAAAACAAACAAACAAACAATATAACATCCTATGGTCGCTGCATGGAATGTCAGGACCTTTCTGGATGCTGGCACAAATGAGCACAAAAGAGCTGTCTAGGTATAATATCAAAACAGCAGCCATTAGAGAGTCTAGCTGGCAGACAAGGGTCGATTCACAGAACGGGGGTCCAGCTATACATTCTTCTGGAAGGGTAAGCTTGCTGTGGAGAGAAACTGCATTAATGGTGTTGGCTTTGCCATTTGCCAATCCATCCTACATGGGCAAACTGAACTGCCTGTTGGGATCAACTAGCACCTCATGACGCTCCGAGTCCCACTAAATCACTCACGTCATACCTTCTTCATCACTGCATGTGCCCCAACACTGGATGCAGGGGATGACACCAAGGAGGCCTTTTATTTAAGTCACTCATGCCATGCATGGCTCAGACCACTGCAACACTGATCATGGCTAGTCAGAGCCACTCTCTCCCTTCACATTGCCCCAAAATGGAGAAGGCAACAAGCGTCCAGAAGAGGTTTAACGCCAAGCGACGGGGGGATCAAGCACTAAAACATGCTCCCCGATAGCAGCTCGACGATGGGCTGATAAACAACCTAAATCTGGGTGCTGAATGGGGTATTCTTGACTGTCATGATATAAACCTACAGCAAGATCCTCGGACAGATAAAAAAACACAAAAAATAACCAATATTGGTTTGATGAAAATAAGCTGGAAATCAATGCACTTGCAGATGGCAAACATGCTTCTTTCACTGACTGGCAGAACCACCCTCAGTCTCAGACCAAAGCTGATACCATCCATGAGAAGACAGTGGCGGCCCAGCACGTACTTTGCAAACTAATGAATGAATGTTGGAAAAATATAGCGTGTGAAATGCAAAAATACACGGAACAACACGAGATGCGTGAAATTTTCAACTCCACTAAAATTATGTGGCCCAATTACTCATGGTGCGGCCCCCCTTCGCTCATCCGACGGTAACTCTACTTAAAGACAACACAGGTATCCGTCAGGCTATATTATCTATCATATTTATATTTGTGCTGGTGCTGCTGCTCAGCAGTGACTCAGCAGCTGTTAAGAAGCAGCAGCAGTCGCAACTGCTCAGCAGTGACACAGTAGCAGAAGCTCAGCAGCTGCTGCTCAACAGTAGCAGCATCAGAAGCAGTAACAGCAGCAACTTCTCGGCAACAGCAGCTGTTGCTTCCCTTCCCCTTCCTCACTTTCCTTCCCGTTCCTCCCTTCACTTCCCCTCCCTCCTTTTCATTCTCTTTTCCTTCCTCCTTTATCTTCCCTTCTCCTCCCTCCATTTCCTTCCCCTTCCTCCCTTGTCTTCCCCTCCCTCCCTTACTTTCCTCTCTTTCCCTTCTTCCTCTCCTCCCTCCCTTTCCTTCTCCCTCCCTTCCCCTACCCTCCTTTCCCTTCCGCTCCCTCCCTTTCCTTCCCCTCCCATCCCTCCACTCCCTACCCCTCCACTCCCTTCCCCTCTGTCTCTTCTCTCCTTCCCCTCCCATCCCCTCCCTCTCTTCCCCTTCCTCCTTCCCTTCCCATCCCTCAATTTCCCTCCCTTCCCCTACCTTCTCTCCCTTCTCTTCTCCTCCCTCCCTTCCCTTTCCCTCCTGCTGTCGCCGCCCCTGGGAGGGCCCCTGGGGTCGCTGCCACCCCAGGGAGCGCCTTTGAGGTCACCGCCGCCCAGAGAGCAGCCCTGCAGTCGCCGCCGCTCCTGGGAAGGCCCCTGTGATTACCGCTGCCACTGGGAGGGCCCATGGAGTCCCCGAGGTCCCATGCTGGGCCCGTGGGGTCGCCGCCGACCCTGGGAGGGCCCTTGGGGTCGCCGTGGCCCCAGGGAGGGCCCTTGAGGTTGCCGCCGCCCTTAGTAGGGCTCCTGGGGTCGCCGCTGCTCGTGGAAGGGCCCCTGGGGTCGCTGCCGACCCAGAAAGGACCCCTGGGGTCGCTGCCGCCCCTAAGAAGGCCCCTAGGGTTGTCACCACCCCTGAAAAGGCGCATGGTACGGCCCCTGGGACAGCCGACGCCCTCGGTATGGACCATGGGGTCGCTGCCGCCCCTGAGAGGGCCCCTAGGGGCCCTCATACTTTCCATTACAATTGCTACATGGAATGCAGTAAGCACTTCCATTTACGTAGAAGGTTGGACTGTTCTTAGTATATATATATATATATATATATATATATATATATATATATATATATATATATATATATATATATATATATATATATATATATATATATATATATATATATATATATATATCAAGTAATTCACTGTAGGTGCGCGGGATCCAGGTATATGCTGATAATTACAAGGAAAGAAGAAAACACGAAGTTCCCAAGCGCTTACGTGTAATTCACATCTTCAGGGGTGAGTACAGACTAAGGAGAAATACAAAGCAAGGTATATATATATATATATATATATATATATATATATATATATATATATATATATATATATATATATATATATATATATATATATATATATATATAAACAGAGGAGGGTGAGATCAAGTCCACAATGGTCAGGTATTAGGTAATCTCCCTACTAATCTTCAAAAAGCACCGCAGCAGCCGGTGGTCACGTCAGAGGGTAAGCTGACCCAACCTTACCTGGTTACAAACCTTCATTACGAAATTATCCAGTTTGTACATACCATTACTCAAATTCATATTGACGTCTTCGGTATGTTTAATGAGACTTAGAAAATGGGAAATAACTACTTTCCAGGAAAGTTGGCTATCTACTTTCCCGAAAATTAGATTATCAACTTTTCGGGAAAGTAGATTATCGACTTTTTGGGAAATATTACCAAATTTTGCGAAGTAGATTATCATAGAAAACGGGAAATTTGTATAAAAAATGGGAAATATCTACTTTCCGGGAAAGTTGGTTATCTACTTTCCCGAAAAGTAGATATAATAATCTACTTTTCAGGAAAGTAGATTATCGACTTTTCGGGGAAGTAGATTATCGACTTTTTGGGAAATATTACCAAATTTTGCGAAGTAGATTATCATAGAAAACGGGAAATTTGTATCATAAAAAATGGGAAATATCTACTTTCCGGGAAAGTTGGTTATCTACTTTCCCAAAAAGTAGATAGATTATCTACTTTTCGGGAAAGTAGATTATCGACTTTTCGGGGAAGTACATTATCGACTTTTTGGGAAATATTACCAAATTTTGCGAAGTAGATTATCATAGAAAACGGGAAATTTGTATCATAAAAAATGGGAAATATCTACTTTCCGGGAAAGTTGGTTATCTACTTTCCCGAAAAGTAGATAGATTTTCTACTTTTCGGGAAAGTAGAATGTCGACTTTTCGGGGAAGTAGATTATTGAATTTTTGGGAAATATTACCTAATTTTGCGAAGTAGATTATCATAGAAAACGGGAAATTTGTATCATAAGAAATGGGAAATATCTACTTTCCGGGAAAGTTGGTTATCTACTTTCCCGAAAAGTAGATAGATTTTCTACTTTTCGGGAAAGTAGATTATCGACTTTTCGAGGAAGTAGATTATCGATTTTTTAAGAATATTACCTAATTTTAAAGTAGATTATCATAGAAAACGGGAAATTTGTATCATAAAAATGGGAAATATCTACTTTCCGGGAAAGTTGGTTATCTACTTTCCCGAAAGTAGATAGATTTTCTACTTTCAGGAAAGAGTAGATTAACCTAAAGTAGATTTTTCGAATTTTGAAATATTGTAATTTTTAGTAGATTATCTTAAAGCAGAAATTTGTATCATAAAATGGGAAATATCTACTTTCCGGGAAAGTTGGTTATCTACTTTCCCGAAAAGTAGATAGATTTTCTACTTTTCGGGAAAGTAGATTATCCACTTTTCGGGGAAGCAGATTTTCGAATTTGGGGGGAAATATTACCTAATTTTGCGAAGTAGATTATCATAGAAAACGGGAAATTTGTATCCTAAAAAATGGGAAATATCTACTTTCCGGGAAAGTTGGTTATCTACTTTCCCAAAAAGTAGATAGATTTTCTACTTTTCGGGAAAGTAGATTATCGACTTTTCGCGGAAGTAGATTTTCGAATTTTGGGGGAAATATTACCTAATTTTGCGAAGTAGATTATCATAGAAAACGGGAAATTTGTATCATAAAAAATGGGAAATATCTACTTTCCGGGAAAGTTGGTTATCTACTTTCCCGAAAAGTAGATATAATAATCTACTTTTCAGGAAAGTAGATTATCGACTTTTCGGGGAAGTAGATTATCGACTTTTTGGGAAATATTACCAAATTTTGCGAAGTAGATTATCATAGAAAACGGGAAATTTGTATCATAAAAAATAGGAAATATCTACTTTCCGGGAAAGTTGGTTATCTACTTTCTCGAAAAGTAGATATAATAATCTACTTTTCAGGAAAGTAGATTATCGACTTTTCGGGGCAGTAGATTATCGACGTTTTGGGAAATATTACCTAATTTTGCGAAGTAGATTATCATA